TCCTGCCGCTACTGGTGCCCGTACTAATCCTGCCGCTACTGGTGCCCAGTACTGGTACTAATCCTGCCGCTACTGGTGCCCGTACTAATCCTGCCGCTACTGGTGCCTGTACTAATACTGGTGCCCCGTACTAATCCTGCCGCTGCCCGTACTAATCCTGCCGCTGCTGGTGCCCGTACTAATCCTGCCGCTGCTGGTGCCCGTACTAATCCTGCCGCTACTGGTGCCCGTACTAATCCTGCCGCTACTGGTGCCAGTACTAATCCTGCCGCTACTGGTGCCCGTACTAATCCTGCCGCTGCTGGTGCCCGTACTAATCCTGCTGTTGGTCTTGCCTGTACTAATCCTGCCGCTACTGGTTCAATCCTGCCGCTGCTGGTGCCCGTACTAATCCTGCCGCTACTGGTGCCCGTAAGTAACTGGTGCCCGTCTAATGCCGCTGCTGGTGCCCGTACTAATCCTGCCGCTACTGGTGCCCGTACTAATCCTGCCGCCTGCCGCTAACTGGTGCCCGTACTAATGCCTGTACCTGCCGCTACTGGTACTAATCCTGCCCGTACTAATCCTGCCGCTACTGGTGCCCGTACTAATCCTGCCGTTACTGGTGCCCGTACTAATCCTGCCGCTACTGGTGCCCGTACTAATCCTGCTGTTGGTATTGCCTGTACTAATCCATCCTCGATAATCTCCAGGGTATACGTTGCGATCACTCTCCATTACACTCTGGATGCATCCACGGCTTGGCCACATAATTATATTACCTCCCTTGGTCGGCTTTTTATCCAATCAGGTGTCTACACTGGGAAGTTGAGCGAACCAATCACAACTCACTTTCGCTTCTTAAATTATCTAACCGTTTAAACTTGGCAACACAATTGATGCAGAGGTACTCTGAAAGAGGTAGAAGGAGTTCTTTCATATATATTTTGAAAGTTTCAGATCTGTCAATTTGTCTGTATTATTTCCCCCAAAATCTGAGTGGCACTGCGAACAAACCTTCACGACTGCGACCGCTATTATATATCTTTGATGACACTGGCAAGCTCGGATGTAACGGCCGCTTAGCTGATTGGTTACTGTGAGAATGCGGAGCCAGCAAAGGGAGGTAACATAATTATGGGGCCAAGCCGTGGATGCATTCAAGGTGTAGTGGAGAGTGATCGTAACGTATACCCTGGAGATTATCGAGGATGGTATTGCCACTACTAATTCTGCTGCTACTACTGCCAATACTAATTCTGCTGCTACTACTGTCAGTACTAATCCTGTTGTTGGTATTGCCAGTACTAATTCTGCTGCTACCAAACCGAAACATGAGTCTCATTAACCTATTCTGACAATGACCTACTTTTCAGCCGATCCGAATTTTCTCGTGTGAAAGTGAAAATAGACATCATAAACAACTATGGTTACACTGAATTCCAATTCCTTGTTTCATAAGAAATGGCATTTACAAATGAAGTTTAATTGTAAACTTTAATAACATCGTATTTCTATATTTTATGGCGAGGTGTAGGCAGCATGACCTTAACTAAGACGTGACAGACTGCCCCTGTTTGATGAGGTCGTAAAATGATTCACAATGCATCTGGCACACTGGTTACACCTGTTATGCGTTTTTCGCGCTTATTCAGTAGTAGTAGTTCTCTAACGCACAGTGTGATGTTGATATAATATCAAGTCCGTACCAGACAGCCAACCTTTCCTAGCGGGAGAGCCTCGTTTTGAGATTTCGACGATTTCCAGATTTCCGTTTGGAAGAGCTCGCTGTACGACAGAGCACGCTGCACGACGTGTTTGCAAGGATTAAAAGGAGCATAGTGTTGCAATATACAAGTGCTTAGATGTATCAAATAATACTGATTAATAATTATGTATCCAGTTAAATGAATTGGTCCCAAAATTCTGGACTAGTTATTGTACTAAGTTGCGCATTGGACGGGACCCAGTCAACAGGAAACGAGACTGCTGTGAAATCAATGTTTTGGCTTGACTGCCAGTACTAATTCTGCTGCTACTACTGCCAGTACTAATCCTGCTGCTACTACTGTCAGTACTAATCCTGCTGCTACTACTGTTAGTACTAATCCTGTGCTACTACTGTCAGTACTAATCCTGCTGCTACTACTGTCAGCACTAATCCTGCTGCTACTACTGCCAGTACTAATCCTGCTGCTACCACTGTCAGTACTAATTCTGCTGCTACTACTGCCAGTACTAATCCTGCTGCTACTACTGTCAGTACTAATCCTGCTGCTACTACTGTCAGTACTAATTCTGCTGCTACTATTGTCAGTACTAATCCTGCTGCTACTACTGTCAGTACTAATCCTGCTGCTACTACTGCCAGTACTAATCCTGCTGCTACTACTGCCAGTACTAATCCTGCTGCTACTACTGTCAGTACTAATTCTGTTGCTACTACTGTCAGTACTAATCCTGCTGCTACTACTGTCAGTACTAATCCTGCTGCTACTACTGTCAGTACTAATCCTGTTGCTACTACTGCCAGTACCAATCCTGCTGCTACTTCTGTCAGTACTAATCCTGCTGCTACTACTGTCAGTACTAATTTTGCTGCTACTACTGTCAGTACTAATTCTGTTGCTACTACTGTCAGTACTAATTCTGCTGCTACTACTCTCAGTACTAATTCTGCTGCTGCTATTACTGCCAGTTCTAATCCTGCTGCTACTACTAATCTAATTCTGCTGCTACTACTGTCAGTACTAATCCTGCTGCTACTACTGTCAGTACTAATTCTGCAGCTTCTACTGTAAGTTCTAATCCTGCTGCTACTACTGTAAGTACTAATTCTGCTGCTACTACTGTCAGTACTAATTAATCCTGCTGCTACTACTGTCAGTACTAATCCTGCTGCTGCTACTAACTGCTCACTCTGTCACTAATTCTGCTGCTACTACTGTCAGTACTAATTCTGTTGCTACTACTGTCAGTACTAATTCTGCTGCTACTACTGTCAGTACTAATTCTGCTGCTACTACTGTCAGTACTAATTCTGCAGCTTCTACTGTCAGTTCTAATCCTGCTGCTACTACTGTCAGTACTAATTCTGCTGTTGGTATTGCCAGCCTTAATCCCGCTGTTGGTATTGCCAGTACTGATTCTGCTGTTGGTATTGCCAGCCCTAATCCAGCTGTTGGTATTGCCAGTACTAATCCTTGCAGGGTATTGCCGGTACTAAACCTGCTGTTGGTATTGCCAGCCCTAATCCTGCTGTTGGTATTGCCAGTACTAATCCTGCTGTTGGTATTGCAAGCCCTAATCCTGCAGTTGGTATTGCCAGTACTGATTCTGCTGCTACTAATACTGGTTCTAACATTGCTGCTACTATTGTTAGTACTGATGCTGCCGCTACTGGTGCCCGTACTAATCCTGCCGCTGCTGGTGCCCGTACTAATCCTACCGCTACTGGTGCCCGTACTAATCCTGCCGCTACTGGTGCCCGTACTAATCCTGCCGCTACTGGTGCCCGTACTAATCCTGCTGTTGGTCTTGCCTGTACTAATCCTGCCGCTACTGGTGCCCGTACTAATCCTGCCGCTACTGGTGCCCGTACTAATCCTGCTGTTGGTCTTGCCTGTACTAATCCTGCCGCTACTGGTGCCCGTACTAATCCTGCCGCTACTGGTGCCCGTACTAATCCTGCCGCCTGGTGCCCGTACTAATCCTGCTGCTGGTCTGGTGCCCGTACTAATCCTGCCGCTACTGGTGCCCGTACTAATCCTGCCGCTACTGGTGCCCGTACTAATCCTGCCGCTACTGGTGCCCGTACTAATCCTGTACTAATCCTGCCGCTACTGGTGCCCGTACTAATCCTGCCGCTACTGGTGCCCGTACTAATCCTGCCGCTGCTGGTGCCCGTACTAATCCTGCCGCTACTGGTGCCCGTACTAATCCTGCCGCTACTGGTGCCCGTACTAATCCTGCCGCTACTGGTGCCCGTACTAATCCTGCCGCTACTGGTGCCCGTACTAATCCTGCCGCTACTGGTGCCCGTACTAATCCTGCCGCTGCTGGTGCCCGTACTAATCCTGCTGTTGGTCTTGCCTGTACTAATCCTGCCGCTACTGGTGCCCGTACTAATCCTGCCGCTACTGGTGCCCGTACTAATCCTGCCGCTACTGGTGCCCGTACTAATCCTGCCGCTACTGGTGCCCGTACTAATCCTGCTGTTGGTCTTGCCTGTACTAATCCTGCCGCTACTGGTGCCCGTACTAATCCTGCCGCTACTGGTGCCCGTACTAATCCTGCCGCTACTGGTGCCCGTACTAATCCTGCCGCTACTGGTGCCCGTACTAATCCTGCTGTTGGTATTGCCTGTACTAATCCATCCTCGATAATCTCCAGGGTAAACGTTACGATCACTCTCCATTACACCCTGGATGCATCCACGGCTTGGCCACATAATTATATTACCTCCCTTGGTCGGCTTTTTATCCAATCAGGTGTCTACACTGGGAAGTTGAGCGAACCAATCACAACTCACTTTCGCTTCTTAAATTATCTAACCGTTTAAACTTGGCAACACAATTGATGCAGAGGTACTCTGAAAGAGGTAGAAGGAGTTCTTTCATATATATTTTGAAAGTTTCAGATCTGTCAATTTGTCTGTATTATTTCCCCCAAAATCTGAGTGGCACTGCGAACAAACCTTCACGACTGCGACCGCTATTATATATCGTTGATGACACTGGCAAGCTCGGATGTAACGGCCGCTTAGCTGATTGGTTACTGCGAGAATGCGGAGCCAGCAAAGGGAGGTAACATAATTATGGGGCCAAGCCGTGGATGCATTCAAGGTGTAGTGGAGAGTGATCGTAACGTATACCCTGGAGATTATCGAAGATGGTATTGCCACTACTAATTCTGCTGCTACTACTGCCAATACTAATTCTGCCGCTACTGGTGTCCGTACTAATCCTGCCGCTACTGGTGCCCGTACTAATCCTGCCGCTACTGGTGCCCGTACTAATCCTGCCAGCTACTGGTGCCCGTACTAATCCTGCCGCTACTGGTGCCCGTACTAATCCTGCCGCTACTGGTGCCCGTACTAATCCTGCCGCTGCTGGTGCCCGTACTAATCCTGCTGTTGCCCGCTGCTGGTGCCCGTACTAATCCTGCCGCTACTGGTGCCCGTACTAATCCTGCCGCTACTGGTGCCCGTACTTAATCCTGCCGCTACTGGTGCCCGTACTAATCCTGCTGTTGGTATTGCCTGTACTAATCCATCCTCGATAATCTCCAGGGTATACGTTACGATCACTCTCCACTACACCCTGGATGCATCCACGGCTTGACCACATAATTATATTACCTCCCTTGGTCGGCTTTTTTTATCCAATCAGGTGTCTACACTGGGAAGTTGAGCGAACCAATCACAACTCACTTTCGCTTCTTAAATTATCTAACCGTTTAAACTTGGCAACACAATTGATGCAGAGGTACTCTGAAAGAGGTAGAAGGAGTTCTTTCATATATATTTTGAAAGTTTCAGATCTGTCAATTTGTCTGTATTATTTCCCCCAAAATCTGAGTGGCACTGCGAACAAACCTTCACGACTGCGACCGCTATTATATATCGTTGATGACACTGGCAAGCTCGGATGTAACGGCCGCTTAGCTGATTGGTTACTGCGAGAATGCGGAGCCAGCAAAGGGAGGTAACATAATTATGGGGCCAAGCCGTGGATGCATTCAAGGTGTAGTGGAGAGTGATCGTAACGTATACCCTGGAGATTATCGAAGATGGTATTGCCACTACTAATTCTGCTGCTACTACTGCCAATACTAATTCTGCCGCTACTGGTGTCCGTACTAATCCTGCCGCTACTGGTGCCCGTACTAATCCTGCCGCTGCTGGTGCCCGTACTAATCCTGCCGCTACTGGTGCCCGTACTAATCCTGCCGCTACTGGTGCCCGTACTAATCCTGCCGCTACTGGTGCCCGTACTAATCCTGCCGTTACTGGTGCCCGTACTAATCCTGCCGCTACTGGTGCCCGTACTAATCCTGCTGTTGGTATTGCCTGTACTAATCCATCCTCGATAATCTCCAGGGTAAACGTTACGATCACTCTCCACTACACCCTGGATGCATCCACGGCTTGACCACATAATTATATTACCTCCCTTGGTCGGCTTTTTATCCAATCAGGTGTCTACACTGGGAAGTTGAGCGAACCAATCACAACTCACTTTCGCTTCTTAAATTATCTAACCGTTTAAACTTGGCAACACAATTGATGCAGAGGTACTCTGAAAGAGGTAGAAGGAGTTCTTTCATATATATTTTGAAAGTTTCAGATCTGTCAATTTGTCTGTATTATTTCCCCCAAAATCTGAGTGGCACTGCGAACAAACCTTCACGACTGCGACCGCTATTATATATCGTTGATGACACTGGCAAGCTCGGATGTAACGGCCGCTTAGCTGATTGGTTACTGCGAGAATGCGGAGCCAGCAAAGGGAGGTAACATAATTATGGGGCCAAGCCGTGGATGCATTCAAGGTGTAGTGGAGAGTGATCGTAACGTATACCCTGGAGATTATCGAGGATGGTATTGCCACTACTAATTCTGCTGCTACTACTGCCAATACTAATTCTGCTGCTACTACTGTCAGT